AGCTTATTTTCTTAAATTTAAAACTCCTGACTGAATTATCATGTTGAGCTCATGTTAAATGGTAGACTATAGAAAACCAGAAACTTCATTTAAACATTGTTTTTTAATTTGCACGACTATTTGTAACTTTTTCATTCCTGTTTCTGTTTCCAGCTTTGGGTCTGACCGCCATGTGGACGTGTGTGGTACACACCAGCTACCTTGTACTCTGTGCAGTTCTGCTGATGTTCCTGTATTCTTCGATTTTGTCCTGGGCCTGGCTGCTCATGGTGTTGCTGAATGCAGTGAAGGAGGTCAACCAGCAGCTGGTGCTGGATCGGACCAGCCTCAGCCTTCTGCTGCTCACCACATCTCTGGGTGACAAAGCAGCTCACCAACAAATATGTCTTTGTGAATTATTCTTCATCAGGGTTGTGTTTGTGTGGCTTTGTCTGCAGGCTAGGGTTTTTTTAAGTCCATTGTGTACTAGTGTCCAGAAAACGAGGACAGCCTGATGCCATGGTGCCACCTGCATTATATAACATCATGCCACAAAAGGAGACGGTACCATCAGGAGACACATCCACAAGCCTCCACACCTCAGAGGTGAGCCTGCAGACATGATTCCCATTTAGGAAAATCATGCTTAATAAGTGAGACTTTAACAGAAACGGGTTTAGCTCGGTTTGCTTTCAGAGACATGAAGGACGACCGAGCAAGACAACTTGAGTCATGACCATTTTTTTATCAGGTCTCATAATAATTCCTTCCCTTTTCTAGCTGTACTTCCACGTTTCCTCACTTTGGACAGGGTGATCTCAGCTTATCAGCAGGGTCTCCTCAGAGACGGTCTGAGCCAGAGTGAGAAATAACAGTAAAAAGCATTCAAATGAGCTAACGAACTGCTAGAAGAATGAATGAACATGTACTGTAAGTCTCCAGTTTCATGTAACAAACATCAACTGCCTGACGTCTCAAAGCAGAGTTCCACAGGGATGGGGCACAGTAGGGGACATACTTCTCCAGAGTTTTGCTGTGTCCATCAGTCTGTGTTAGTAGAATGCACTAGGACAGTGTAGGTGTGGCTTTGTACAGAAACAACTTCAGGAAGAAGCTGGAGCCCGAGGGCAGAGGCAGACAGCCATCTGTATTGATGAATTGAATCAGTTCTTAATGAGATTAAATTCTGTTGTGACTGTCTGTGTCAACATGCCCAGCAAACCCCCCCCCCCCACCCCACCACCACCACCCACACACACACCCATACACACACCCGTACACACAAACACACTCCTGTACAGCAACTCTTCTTTACTGCCACCCTCACTCAGCGAGAAAATGTAGACAAAAGCTGAAACTGCATGTGAATCAACCTCCTCCGTAGAGTTGTTGATCTTGTTAGACTCTTGTATCGGTCTGAGGTGTTTTGGTCAGACACAGGAAGTTGTCACTTACACAGAAACTTTTTGTTTCATCTCGTATCGGGTACTGTGTGCCATGCTTCACTCTGTGACCAATAAAGTGAATAAAATTTGATTATTTATGTATTGTTATAGTTTGATATTTTTGTCCTCTAACAGAGGCTTCAGCCCAACTCACTGAAGAGCTATTCAGAATTAATCAGCTGCCACAGAAAACGAAAGCCATCCTCTTCTGAAATCGTCTTAGACTTTTCCTTTCCACAGGTATCAACTTCATCAGACAACACCTAGACTCGAAGATAGATGAGAGCTGCATGGGCAGCAGCATCTCTGATGAGGACTTCTTTGCATCCATGAAGTCAGAAAAGCCAGAAGCAGAAGAACTGGAGAGGTGCCTTTCATATCCATCCACTGAAGGTATGGATCTATTGGTTTGCTTTCCTCACATCAAGAATCTGGCAATCACAGTCAATACAACTGCCCTGCATCTGCATCTGCAACTGCAGCGAGTGAGAGACTTTTCAGTCAGGCAGGACTCTCAATAACTGCTAAAGGGTCACAGCATCACAGCAAGAAGCTTGAGAGCCAACTGTTGATGAAGTTCTTCACTGAGTGAAGGCTCGACATCTGAATGGCTTTTGTCTTCTCTCTCTCTCTCTCTCTCTCTCTCTCTCTCTCTCTCTCTCTCTCTCTCTCTCTCTCTCTCTCTCTCTCTCTCTCTCTCTCTGTCTGTCGCTCTCTCTCTCTCTCTCTCTCTCTCTCTCTCTCTCTCTCTCGTCTTTCGCTCTCTCTCTCTCTCTCTCTCTCTGTCTGTCTCTCTCTCTCTCTCTTTATATATATATAAAGTTGTGGTCAGAAGTTTACATACACTTGTAAAAAATATAATATAATGGCTCTACTGAGTGTCCCGTTATTTCTAAAACTCTGATTTTTCTCTGATAGAGTGATTGGAACAGATACTTCTTTGTCACAAAACACATTCATGAAGTTTGGTTCTTTAATGTCTTTATTATGGGTTAACAGAGAAAAGTGATCACATTTGCTGGGTCACAAATATACATACAGCAGTGCTAATATTTGGTTACATGTCCCTTAGCCATTTTCACTTCAATTAGGCGCTTTTGGTAGCCATCCACAAGCTTCTGGCAAGCTTCTGGTTGAATCTTTGACCACTCCTCTTGACAGAATTGGTGAAGTTCAGTTAAATTTGATGGCTTTCTGACATGGACTTGTTTCTTCAGCACTGTCCACATGTTTTCAATGGGGTTTAAGTCAGGACTTTGGGAAGGCCATTCTAAAACCCTTATTCTAGCCTGATTTAGCCATTCCTTTACCACTTTTGATGTGTGTTTGGGGTCATTGTCCTGTTGGAACACCCAACTGCGCCCAAGACCCAACCTTCGTGCTGATGATTTTAGGTTATGTTGAAGAATGTGAAGGTAATCCTCCTTCTTCATTATCCCATTTACTCTCTGTAAAGCACCAGTTCCATTGGCAGCAAAACAGCCCCACAGCATAATATTCCCACCACCATGCTTGACTGTAGGCATGGTGTTCTTGGGGTTAAAGGCCTCACCTTTCCTCCTCCAAACATATTGCTGGGTATTGAGGCCAAAAAGCTCGATTTTCGTTTCGTCTGACCACAGAACTTTCCTCCAGAAGGTCTTATCTTTGTCCATGTGATCAGCAGCAAACTTCAGTCGAGCCTTATGGTGCCGCTTTTGGAGCAAGGGCTTCCTTCTTGCACGGCAGCCTCTCAGTCCATGGAGATGCAAAACACGTTTGACTGTGGACAATGACACCTGTGTTCCAGCAGCTTCTAATTCTTGGCAGATCTGCTTTTTGGTGATTCTTGGTTCACTCTTTACCCTCCTGACCAATTTTCTCTCAGCAGCAGGTGATAGCTTGCATTTTCTTCCTGATCTTGGCAGTGATGAAACAGTGCCATGCACCTTATACTTACAAACAATTGTTTGCACTGTTGCTCTTGGGACCTGCAGCTGCTTTGAAATGGCCCCAAGTGACTTTCCTGACTTGTTCAAGTCAATAATTCGCTTTTTCAGATCCATGCTGAGCTCCTTTGACTTTCCCATTGTAGCGTTTGTGGGCGTTTGTATCCAATGAGCCCTATTTACCTGGCCTAAGAGAAGTCACCAGCTGTAGTCACTCATAATCACTCACAAGAAGTTAAGAGGCCATGCTATGAAGCTCAGTTCACTGACACGTTTCTAAGTCACCTAAATTGCTAGATCATGTTGCTGTATGTATATTTGTGACCCAGCAAATGTGATCACTTTTCTCTGTTAACCCATAATAAAGACATTAAAGAACCAAACTTCATGAATGTTTTTTGTGACAAAGAAGTATCTGTTCCAATCACTCTATCAGAGAAAAATCAGAGTTTTAGAAATAACGGGACACTCAGTAGAGCCATTATATTATATTTTTTACAAGTGTATGTAAACTTCTGACCACAACTGTATATATATATATATATATGAATATATATATATATATATATATATATATATATATATATATATATATATATATATATATATATATATGAATATATGTGTGTGTGTGTGTGTGTGTGTGTGTGTATGTATACCGGAATAGAATCTACTCTATATATAACTACTTTTTTAGTCTTACTTGAGTAACTATTGGGATGACTACTTTTCACATTTTCTTGAGTAAATTTCTGTACTTTACTCTGCTAGATGAATGTGGGTAATGCTGTTAATGTTACTGGGGCTGCTGGCTGGATAAGAAACTTGAGAGGGTGCCTGTTTCCTGTTTCCTGCCCGGGTACAGTTGCTGGAGCAGGCGCCTTGTTGTTCCCGTTTCTCAGGGCAGCCGATGTGCAGACCGGCTCCGATGCAAGGCTGTAGCTGTAGCCATGCTGGTCACTTGTGGATCTCTGAGGGAGACCACAGAAACACTACAGCTCTTTTAGTTGATGCTGCTTCACTTTTGAGTTGCTCAACTGCATTTTTCTTGGTAATAGTTTGCTGGTTTCTTGTTAAAAACGCCCAGAAAAACTCTGTAAGTTTCACATTAGCAGCGGTCTGAGGCTCTGCCTGTAAGTTAACAGTACTAGTCCACATTAGATCCCCACAGTCGACCAGCATGACTAGAGCCTCGAACGGAAGCCAGGCGGCCATGCGGGTGGGCTACCCCAGTCCCCGAAGCCCTTACTTCTTGGCTTAGCTTAGTTAGCAAGTAGCTTCATTGGCTCATTTGAAGAAGAAGAAAGAAGAAGAAGAAAATATAATTTCTATGGCGCCTCTCAAGATAAAAATCACGAGGCGCTTGTTCCAATTATAACAGCCCCACCTTAGCTCCACCTCTTTTCCCATTTTTGGATTGTCTGGGTGTGACTAGACATGTGACACAGTCCAAATGGCGGTGGTGGGAACCTCCCATTTTAAGTCAAAAACGTTTAATTGCAGCCTATGGACATTATTTGTCCAGTAGCTCATCACTATCAGTGTGTGGAGGACTGTAATGTAAAGCGCTTTGGAGTCCCTGGTTTAGAAAAACTAAATCCAAAAGTACATTTATTTAATGAATTTTATAAAGTCCAATGAGACTCACCGCTGCACAGCCCTTCTTGATGGTCACACTGGGAGTAGTGGCTCTCAGAACTCCAGTGACACCGTGGTAATACCTGAAGCACACCTGGGTCTCAGCTGTGGAGGAAACATGACAAACACTTAAATTATTGAATGAATTATATATTAATTATAAAAATAAACTGACATTTATAATAGTTTAATAGTTTTGGTCCTCTGTTTATAAAAGCTGAGCAATTTTGTTGTGAAAGGTTCTTCCTACATCAACTCTGACATGGTGTCTGTTTTCTACATGTCTTCTGGCATTTTTATTGAAGGTTTAGAGACATTTTTACTGATGCTACTAAACAATCTTAAATAAATGTACAATAAAACAGCAAAAGTCCATCTGAACTACAGCTTTTCTAAACTTTAAAAAACTTATTTGTTGTATGAAGTTGAGCCCACACAGAAGAGGTGATGGGGATATTATTACACACTCCTTATGTTTACTAAAATGGGGACACACAACAATACAAAAGGAGCAAGCTATCACTACATTAGCCTGATGAGGAAATATAAAATCAACATTGTTTTACTGAACAATCATGATAATAAATCACAGTGCATTTAGTGCCAACCACAGCCTTAAGACATGTGTTCAACGTTTCCAAGTCCATACTTATGAGAGCACCATGTGAGCACCTGTGTGTGTACACGCGCTTGTTTATGTAAGGTTTGTCTATAGGAGCGTCCAATAGAGAGTGTGAGGGACCACAGACCTGCCCCCCAAAGATGTGTAGAAGATTGAGGGCGCTCCATGTCCGAGAGATCCAGGAGCTGTCCCAGAATGCACGGACCCCAGGGAGACTGTAACCAGAAAAGCCCCAGCCCCCTCTCGAGAGGCGCAGAGGATTTCCCTGAGGGGCCATGACCAGCAGCTGGCAGAGTCCCAGGAGATATCAGCGGCAAGCCCACAGGCCCGCCCGCAGCCTCCCACCCCCCAGCCGGCTGAGCCCGGAACCTAGCGACCCTGGACCCAGGGATGACCAGCCCCGCCGGGGACCCAACAGAGCCCAGGGATTCAGATCCCACCAGGCAGCCACCAGGATCGATCAGGCAGACTCCAAAAATGTTAAACCCCTTGACCCGGTAGCGGCGAACACTCAAGCAGACCAAGGCACCAAACTCCATACCAAATGTGGGAGGGGGAGGGTAGGCGAAGATGTGTAGCAACAAAAGAAGCCCCAGGAGAGGGGAGGAGTCCAAGACCCCACCTGACATATACAGTCATATACAGACACAGTCACACACTCCCTCATGCTCACACATACACATACAACTTAAGACTTACAAAAATGAACGCTAGACGCCCATTCACGCTCCCCATACACACCCTGTTCACTCTGGTCCCGGTACTGCTGCACAAAGGGTCCAACCATCACCGGTTCCTAGAGTTCGCCCCTTTCTGCTGGGGTGCTGATGAGCAGGCACCCCCACCCAACGCTGAGCAAAGCATCCCACCACCCAAGACCCCAACCAGATGGCCAGCTCCCCCTCCTAGCCTCCAGCCTCGGAAAGCCAAGCAACAACAGAGGTGCGCTAAGACCCCTAGTCTCCCTCCGCCTGCTCCAATACAGTGTTAGTGCGTGTTGATGAGGTGTATTCCATGGCCGTGGTGAGCAGGCAGTGCAGGCATCATCTGGCCTATGCCAGCTGATAGCCCGACGGAGCCCGAGGGCACCAACCCAGCCCCACCCCAGTAGAACATCTACTCCCATCCCTGCATTTGCACAACTTCCACAATATTTAAGACATGAGACATCCAGGTAAGTTTGGGTCCTCCCCTTCCTGGACATCCCCTTCCCCCGTGATGGGACAAAGTTGTTATTATTCCAGAGGAGCCATGGTCCACCTGAGGCCCTTGAGCCTGGGCCATGCACTGCCACTTGTTCCTGCCTTCTTCAAGGCAGCTTACGAGCCAGGACTTCATCCCCAAGTCCAAATTAGAGGCAATTTCTTAGTGTGAAGTGAAAATGTGGTTGTGTGAAGCACAAATGTTAACCATTAATATTATTAATGGCGTGACGGTGGCACAGGAGTTAAGTTGCAGGTTCAAGCGCCGCTCAGTTTGTTGCTGTTGTTGTGTCCTTGGGCAAGACACTTAACCCACCTTCCCTGCTGGTGGTGGTCGGAGGGACCGGTACCCTGTGTACGGCAGACTCGCCTCTGTCAGTACGCCCCAGGGCAGCTGTGGCTACATCGTAACTCATCCCTACCAGAGTGTGAATGTGTGTGTGAATGGGTGAATGACTGATTGTATTGTAAAGTGCCTTGGGGGGGGGGGGGGGGGTTCCAGGACTCTAGAGGGTGCTATATTAAATACAGACCATTTACTATTTACCTTTTATTGAGGTGTGACTATACTGATAGATTTACATTTTTAAATCAACAAGTACTGATCTGGTCTAATTTAAAATCTGAAATGAATCATTACAGGAAAAATATTCATGTTAACCCATCATTCATTCATGTGAAGTATAGGACACATTATTAAAACACTTTGGATTTAAACAATTTGTTCATTCAACAAAATATGATTTTATAAAGTTTTAAAGTCATTATTTGAGCCAGGGAAGATAGACATTATTCAAAGAGGATAGATGAGACGTCTTGCATCTTGTAGCCTTGAGGACTCATGATGTACTCAGGATTATTTAAGAATATCGGCTCAAGTTAATTTCCTCATATCGGCAACACTGTGTCGAATTGACCTGTATGAAGAAGTTTGGCCTGTAGTTAAAAGTTCACTTCTGGTGATTTTTGATGGAAAACATGGCCGTTTGTTTTGTTACATTATTATCACCATCACCAACCCTATTATTACCATCTTTATCATCATCATCATCATCATCATCATCATCATCATCATCATCATCATCATCATCATCACCATCATCATCATCATCATCATCATCTTCTTCATCATAATCATCACCATAGTATATCTGATCATCATCATCATCATCATCATGGTATTAGTGTTTAATATGTAAAAACACTAAGATGCTAACATTAAAAAACTATGTGGTAATAGCTTGTGTGAAGAGGTGAGTTTTGAGTTTTGATTTAAGAAGTGGGAGAGAGTGAGTGGTGTATCATCATCATCATCATCATCATCATCACCACATTGTCATCTTCATCACCATCATCATCATCAACTTCACTTTCATCACCTTCTTCATCATCATCATCACTAAGTTCTATTTCTTTATATGTGAGCGGATCATTTCTTCACACTGACTCCATGTCAGTTTTCAATGTGAACCAGCTGGTTTCCTGGGGTTCTAGCATGATGAGGATGAATGTTTGCCATATAAAATTATAAACACTATAGTCAGATGTTTACACTTCAGAACAGAATAGAACCAGTTGAGTTAATAAATTGTTTAATTCAGGTTTACCCAGAGTACAGAACCAGTGTGCCCAAGGGGAGAGGATGGAAGTCTGGACATAAAATCATGTTTCTTTTCTCTTGTGTTGCACATTTTCTCTAATTTCCCTCTGGGATTAGTAAAGTATTGATTGATTGATTGATTGATTGATTGATTGATTGATTGGTTGATTGATTGATTGGTTGATTGATTGATTGGTTGATTGATTTAGTGGTTGGATGTAGCGGAGACAGGAAGAAACAGCGGCTTGTCATCTTAGCGAACTTTCTGCATGACTCAGTATTCATTTTCAATCATTCATGAACCTGTTCTGCTTGTTTTTTTAAACTTACATTTACTGAAGTGGGATCCAGAATCTATTTTCCAAAAGATCTGCCCTTTATGAGATCCACTGATGCCTCGGTTCTTGTAGTCCAAAAAGTTTTCAGACAAATCCTCATCTACAAAGAGAAATGAGATTACATGAGCTGCATATCTGTATCCTCCAGCCACTCTAAACCGTCTGTCCTCCAGTCACTATACTCTTTCTATTACCAGATTCATCATGAGGGGAAACATGCAGTAATCGTCACCACCTCCAGAGCGTTTGGTTCCTTTTTTTATCAAGAGACTTTTTAACATATTGAATGTTTTTAAACATAGCAGCAACATGAGATTCACCCAAAGCGGTGTCTCTAAACACCTTAGAAAATGAATGAAAAAAGACGCCAACACATGAATGAGGCTCTGGGTGGTAATTCAAGTAAGTACACCCTTGCCCTAACTAAGTTTAAGAGTAGTTGGGATTATAAAGACGTACCAATGAGATACATTCCAATCCAGTCTCCAGCATCCACCTCCTCCTTGATGTCCCACGTGATGACCAGGTCTTCAGGCTGGCCGATGGTGTAGTGGGCGGAGCTGACCGTGAGCGTGGAGCGAGCATCTGGGGAGACCAGGTCGGTGTCGCTAGTGGAGCGCGCTAATCCCAGCATGAAGGCATCCTGGTTCAGACCGTTGACAGCGTAGGTCTCAGGGCTGAAGCTGTGACGCGCTGCATCCTTGCAACGCTGGCGAGACTGGCCAGTACGGGTCGGGGAGGCCATAGCAGCCAGGCTCAGGAGCCGGTTCTGGTACAAGTTCTACAACAAATCACACAGCAGAATGCAATTTCCCATCACACCACTTCTGACCTTAAAGCAGAGGGGCTCAATTCTGATCCTGGAGGGCTGGTATCATGAATGTTTTAGTTGTTTCTCTGCTCCGACACACTTGATTCAGTGCTTTTATCACATGTTCTGCACCTCGTGAAGCTCTGCAGAAGGCTGATTAAAATCAGCTGTGTTGAAGCAGGGAAACATCTAGAACAGGGGTAGGCAATCCTTGTCACTATCCGCCATAGCTTTTTCCCTGTTCCAACAGACTTGATTTAAATCAGTAGATGTCTGCAGAGCTTGACAACTTGATGAACAGGTGAATCAGCCATTAAACTAGGTGTGATGGAGCTAAAACATGCTGGATAGCAGTCCTCCGGGGTCAGAAATGAGCACCCCTTTCACACGTGAAAATGAAGTTAGTGTGGTTTTGAATGTGTCATAATCAATGATGAAATAAAGAAAATTCATCAAAGTCCAATAGACCCTTTTACTACCTACACCATCAAAAGTTGCGCGCGCAGCCTGGCAACGAGAGTGAAGGCTTCCTCATTCACACTCGATACTAAAACAGCGTTTTAAACCCTTTGTTTTGAAGTTCTGAGCACATAAAAATGTCGGGTTGTTGCGTGTATGGATGCCAGAACCGCTTCTCTTCAAGCAGTGGACTGAAACTTTACAGAAGTCCGAAGGGAGCACATCCATTTCAACAAAATCGGAGGCGTCTGTGGCTGCAGGCCATCAAAAGGGTAACTGCAGCGTTTTCTGTTTCATCCTAACACAAAGCTCAACTTTGAATAAAATTGCTGCTGCGTGGCTGCAGCATGACCCAAGTCTGGAACATCAAAATGACAGAATTAAACAAATTTATAGGCTTTATTTCATGCTTCAACTTAACATTTCATTCCAGTTCATCTGTATTTTCCCACTGCATATTAGTATAAACTGTATTTCTCTAAAATTAACATGATTGTACTCTGAGCACGCTAAAAAAAAACCTATGCTATACTCACCCTGCCATGCAGGTACAGTTGGCTGTGAAGACGTAGTTCTCTGGTTTGTTTACTATGACCCAAGCCTCGTACATAGCAGTCTTGTGTCCTTGTCTTTGGCTAGGAAGGACTTCTGCCTTCAAGACGCAAAACTCAGAGTCTATGTCGTGATATTTTACTTTCTGTACGTGGCCACAGACAACATAGTTGTATGCATCTAACGATTTGTATGTCCGTAGCTTCTCACGTGTGTACCTACTGGGCCTCTCCACTAAAAACGTATATATATCGGGCCACTGCATATCTGGCCACGCACCTACATCTTCCACCCATTCCGTAATGCCACAGGGATACGGGAGTCTGTTGCCATTTGTTAAAGTGAGTTTAATAATATAACATTCAAGATTTGCCGGTGATAACCCCGCAGTGTATGCCTGACACAACGCCATTCTCTGTTGCCAAGCTGCGCACGCATTCTCGCTGACGTCATATTGTTTACAAACAGTAAAAGGGTCTATTAACTCCCAGACTACACCAGATTCACAAGGCCAGCTTCTTGGGCCAGTTTACGTGTGAACATAACAGTGGGGCAGTCTACATGTGAGATTTATTTTGATGATGAAATAAAATCATGAGCTTGCTAAATACATTTCTGGATTAGTTTATATAATTGAGGATTTGTTTGTTGTCTCTGTCAACAACAAACTGAGGAATGTGGCCCACTGTTGCTGTAATTGTAACTTCACTTTGACGTAAAAGTTAATAGAGTTGTGTAATGAAGTGCTAAATAATTTAAAACCATTTTTTAAAGAGGCTGTACGTGAAACTAGCAAAATGACAATGATGGTAAGCAGCTTTCATGCTTTTGATGTAATCTGAACAAAGTCAAATACAAGTCGGGTGGTGCAACCACATACATCACATACACCACCGGTCAAAATTTTTTACAACACCTCAATTTTTATTTATTGTAGTTTAAGTCATTCAAGACCAATGACTAGTTTGAAATGGTACAAAGTTCAGTGGTGATTTGTCAGAGGTAAAAAAAAGGTAAAGTTGCTCAAACGTGGAAAATATTGTACATTTCAGAATTACACAAAAAGGCCTTTTTCAGGGAACACAGCTGTTGTGCAGCAATGGAGGTTGATCAAGCCATGAAAGCTGGTTCTAATTCCCACAGGTGTTCCAACTTTTCTGGATTGCTTACAACCCCCTCTGTCTGCATAAAAGCAGTGTTGGAACATACTGTGGTACCATACCCTGGTGAGCATCAGTTGAACAGTATTGTACTGCAGATAATAGACAGACAGACACACACTCACACCATCATATGCAATCAAAGGGGTCATGCTGCTGTGTCCTGCTTTGTGTATTCCTATAGCTGCTGTACTCAGTTCCATGTTGGTGGTTATGTTTTTCAAAGAAGTAAAGCTAAATAAATGGACAGTGCACTATAGTACAGTTTTTTTCAGTTATAATATATATATATATATATATATATATATATATATATATATATATATATATATATATATATAATATGTGTGTGTGTGTTTCCCTGCTGCCACACACCTGACATTTGCCAAAACGTAGGCTAAAAAGTCAATTGTGATCCCACGTGATCTGTTTCCAATAGAACGCAGGTTGTTGCAACTGTAAGCTGTACAAAAACAGGTATAGTTGTTTTCTTTGCGTTGACTCCAGTTGGGTTTGGAGAGTGAGGAATCCATCCAATATGGCAGCATTGCTGTTATACTCTCCTCCAGCGCCCAATAGGGCATCTAGGTATTCATGTCTAAGGGTGAAACAGAATCTCTCTGTTGCTGTAATCAGCATTCATTTTTTGCAGAAATGCTGTTTGCTGGATACTGAAAATGATAGCTGAAGCTGCTGAATAACTGAGGTGGAGCTGAAACTCTGAAGATTTAAGAACAAAAATCCCATCGTGCTTGTCAGTACAGCCTTTTGGGCTTTTTCAGTTGAAGAGTGGAGAGAGCAATACTGATCAGCAGAAAATGGAAATCATGTTTTCTTTTTAATTTAAAATCGGAAAGGGGCTCAATGTAGAAGAAAACACAACACAAAGATATGCTAAGTAAAAGAAGATTTAAATAAAAGCATCTTCACCATCACCATAAAGGTGACCAGACCGTCAAAACTACATAAAAATAAAGGAAATATGTTCCAAAGTCGGAGTGCAACAGCTTTGAAAAAGTGACTTTTATGGCTGGTCTTTGGAACCTTGTTGCATAAGGCTTCAACAGTTCAGTCATGTAAGGAGGAGCTTGACCATATATGGGCCATTCCCGTCTGTACCGGGTCGGCCCGGGCCGGATAGCCCCAGTCGGCCCCAGCCTGGCCCGGTTGATTCCACACATCCTTGCCTTAAGCCCATGTGGGCTGATTCTACCCACCATTCAGAGGCTTGCTCTAATGGAAGGTGTGAATTTGCTGTCAGCAGTGGGTGTGTTGGCCCTGGTCGGCCTGAAGCAGACCCCCTCGAGAAGAGGGCTGAGAATGAGCCTTGGTTGGCCCGGAAAAATACCAGGCCACCCAGATATGTAAACAACCTATGCTACCTGGCCCGGGCTGACCCGGTACAGATGGGAATGGCCCAATAGAGTCCTGAAAGTTGGTTAGGATTCTAACCAGCCCAGAAACATCAGAATAGGAGTGGTGTGAACTCTTCTTTTTGCTCCAGTTAGGAGCCTCGCTGCAGAGTTCTGGACCAACTGAAGGAGGTCAAAGGCTTTTTAAATTATTAAGAAATGTGAAAATTGTGTAATCTAGGCGGGAGGAGATGAAGGCATGGATAACCATTTCAAGTTGATGCTTTGACACCAACCTTCTCTGTTTGGAGATATTTCTTAAGTGATAAAACATTTCAGACCAGCCTTTTGAGTAGCCTTCAAGATACATTTATTGGTTAAAAACAACTGTGTGTTGGAGCAGAAAAAGCATGAAAACGTAATGGATACCAGCCCTCCAGTCCTGCAATTCAATAACTCTGCCAGAGATGGGAATTGTGGCATCAACACGTCATCTCCATGCCATGTTTTTGTTCTACTCAGCCACTGAACCAGGTTCATTCACTGTGCTGATGGAAATCACCTAGTTTAGTTGCTGAAGAAAAACATGGCATGGAGATGACTTGTTGACGCCACAATTCCCCATCTTTGACCCCTGGTCTATGGTATCAGTCAAGTTGCCCTGTTTATACTCAAACTAGTCCAACATGAGGCTTCGATGAAGGAAGCACCATAAACCTGTTTTGAAGTCACTTCACTGGCTACGTTTTCAGTATTGGCTCACTTTAAAATTTTACCTTTTGTATTTAAGTCTTTCAATGGATTGACTCAATCTTATGCAGTCGACCCTCTACAGCCTCATCACCCTCCTTGTGCTTTTAGGCCAGCGGATCAGTTACTTCTTATTGTCCCATTGCAAGTCTTGAGGGGAGAGGGCTTTCAGGGTTTGTGCCCCTAAACTATGAGCTCGCCCTCCAGGTTTGGCAGGCAGTTTAGTCCTAGCTAAAAATGCATTATTTCTCACAGGCTTTTATTAGTCAACAATGGTTTATGTGCATGATTTTTTTCTGCTTGTATAAATTGATATAGGTGACATTTGTTTTTTGTTGTTTATTTATGTTTGCAGTAAAAGTTTCATCATCATCATCCTCATCATCATTTTCATTATCATGAGGTTGCTTCTGTAGGTGTTGGACTTTTATTTGCTCTCCGTCTCTTTTCCTTTGGTGGGAAACTGAAAGCTGTGCCTCCATGTACTGTATATTCATGTTTATCCTGCATCTGGCCAAATTTACGGTTCACATTACAGAAACATCATCATGTGGATTATTTAAATGTGACCTATTACTGAAATTATGATGCGATATAATCACCATATTTAAACATGTTTCAGTTGCAGTAATCTGGATTATGCTGTGTGTACATTGTCTCTAACAAACTGTCACAGTTTAGCCTTGGATTGGGTCACCGTAGATTAGGTTCATAATGTGAGGGATTAAGTCCGCATCAATGCACATGCTGAAAACAATCAGTCTCACTGATCTCAGTGCAGTCAGAAAACAAAAGCACAATCTCATTTAGAGACAACGTAAAGACCTGGTGATCATGCTCAGTGTGTGGAGTGACCCCATCCAGATCTACAGAGTGTTTGGGGTCGATACCGTGATCCTGGTCAGTTGCAGCATTATTACGAGCATATCTGACCGTGAGAAGAGTTTACTCTGCTGGGAGCTCGGATCAGATCCGACACTGCTCCAGTTAGAAAGCAGCTTCAGGGCACAGCTCTGTCAGTCTCGCCTGATCACCGATGCTGCAGGAGCTTTGTGTGAGGCGTAGGGATGCAACGGTATGAGGTAAAATACCGGACCGTTCTGTACGCCCTGCACGGGACAATCCGCCCTCCTGTCCCACGGGACTTCGGTACTCCCATTGATTTTGTGCTGCTCTTTAATTTCATGCTTGGCACCATGCGCATTTGCCTGTCCAGGTAGATGAAGGCCCACCCCTAAGTTAATGTCCAATCACCGTTGTGCATCTGCGTCCTCACCCGTACAGTTAGACAGCTGGCTGCGAACGAAGAGACATGAGGAAATGGCGAGCTGCAGTGGAGTTGAAAGGAAAGAGTTTGAAGAGGCACCAGGCTCTTTTAAATTATCAGTTTGGAATTATTTCGGATTTGGGGTTGAGTACAACGATGAAGGAGTAAAAACAATCAGCAAAAGTTACACTGTCTGTAAACAATGTTTGGCATGTTTCATACTCCAGTGGAAACACGAGCAACATGTTAAAACATATCCAGCGAAGGCATCCAGACATAAAGCTTCCTGAACACAGGTCAGTGGAGCAACCCGCCGCACAGGCACCAGCAGCAAAACAACTGTCTATCGAGAATGCTTTTGCTCAAACCTACCGGGCTTTTTCAGAGAAACTTAAAAAAATTACTGATGCATTGGGAGTGTTTATCGCGAAAGATCTGCAGCCTTTTTCTGTAGTCGAGGATGTTGGTTTTCAACATTTAATGAAGACGCTCGACCGATGTTATTCTGTGCCCAGTCGCACACATTTTAGTCAGGTCGTCATCCCTGGTCTTTACGACAAAACGCGCAATGCCATCGAGAGTGATTTGGCTAAGGCAGAAAGCCTCGCACTGACCACTGATAGTTGGACTTCTCGGGCAACACAGAGCTACATGACTGCGACGGCTCACTACATGCTGGACTAGGAGATGAAAAGTGCCGTGCTGCAGACTCGCCCCCTCTATGAAAGCCACACAAGTGCGCATTTAGCAGAAGAGATAAAAAAAATGCAGTCACCGAGTGGAAGCTGGAGCGGCCAAACAAAACTATACCCGTCGCCACAGATAATGCTCCAAACGTTGTTAATGCACTTAATGAAACTGTTGAGCTAGGACCCCAGATCAGCTGTTTTGCTCACACTGTGAATCTCACTGCAAAGAGGGCTGTGTCAATCAACGGTGTGTCCCGCCGCCTTGGGAAGGTGAGGAAAGTTGTCACCTTTTTTCACTGCTGCACGACAGCCAAGCAAGCACTTGCTGTGAAACAGCAAATGCTAAACTTACCAAAGCACACGTTAATTCATGATGTGATAACCCGGTGGAACACATCACATGGCATGTTGTCACGATATGTTGAACAGCAGCCTGCCATCCACTCTGCATTAACAATGGACAAGAATCTGAAGAGCCACATCAAGGGCATTGCAATGTTGACTGATGATGAGCAAAACACGGCAGAACAACTAATTGAAGTTCTCAAACCTCTAAAAACACTCATGAGCAGTGTAACAACCCCTACAATTTCAATGATCCTCCCACTGAAAGAAATGATTCTCAAGTGCATGGCCCCTGGAGGTGAAGACAGTGCAGGTATCAAAGAGGCTAAAGAAGCCATCGCACAGGACCTGGATAAAAGGTACACCGACCCTGACCTTCAGAAGTACCTCCAAAAAGCCACAGCCCTGGATCCCAGGTTTAAACCCCTGCCCTCACATGATGAAGCCTCCCTTGACAGACTTTACAGAGATCTTGCCACAGAAATTCTGGAGAATGAACCACAGGTATGTTGATCATATTTCCTGTGAATCCATGGCTGAATTTATATTTTATTTTTTGTAAAAAATGTATATAAAGGTTTTAACATTTCATACTTGTACAGAACTGTCTATGATCAAACAGCAATTTAGCTTTTCTCTGTTGTGGCAATTACACGGAGTTCACAGGAGCAAAATATAAACATTAACAGCTGTTATTCTGTATATTAAAAAATTGTCATTGTTTTTCCAGAGACAACTGGAGCCGGAGACGATGCCACCCACAGAGGGACAAGAGTCAGCCTCTCCACCTCCAAAGAAGACGGCAATGGCAGAGCTATTTGGGGAGGTTTTTAAAAAAAAAAGATCAGGTCAAAACTCTTGCCCAGGTAGTCGAGGATGAAGTTGCTTCATACAGGTTGGCAGACACTGGCGTTGAGGCCGATCCTTTCAGGTGGTGGAAGACCAATGAGCATAAGTTCCCTCATGTAGCTAAAGTGGCAAAACGGCTCCTCTGTGTCCCAGGGACTTCAGTTCCTAGTGAGAATTTTCTCCACTGCTGGGGACATTGTTAGTGCAAACCGGTCTCGCCTTGCACCAGACAGTGTTGATGGACTCATCTTCTTGCACAAAAATCTCTCAATAGTGGATGAGTAAATATTGCACGTTTTATCCTGAATGCAGGATTATTTACTAAATTATTTAGCTCTGCTTTTTTGTTCTAAGCACAAGCTAATTTATTTTTGTTAAAGGTAAACCAAACTTTTTCGTTCACATTGTTGTCGAGGACGGGAATTGTTTATTTAGTGTGTTTGTTTTACTTGCGTATATTTTAAAATTTCAATTCACTACTGATACTTGAAGAAGAGGTTGTATTATTTCGTGTTCAGTACACCCTAAAGAGGGTTCATTTATTCCATACTGTGATGTTACAGCACAAGCCAACTCCTGTTTGTCAAAACGCAAAATGCACTTTTACTTTTGCATTGCTTACCTCATGTATCACGTATCATGGTTGGGAACCATTTGAATATTTTCAAGTGTCTTTGTTTACATTTTGTAATTTTTTAAATATATTTTGTATTGCATACAAGTGATGATTGAAAGAGGGTGTTAGTGTTCAATGCAGAGAATGTTAACTTATTTCATATACTGATGTTCCAATTGTGGCATTCTGTTTTCGCTCTGAAGAAAAATAAAATGCATGTTTTGGAATAAAAGCTGTCTCTTTCTGCACAAACATGTATCGAACCGTCCCGTGGACCGTGGCCTAAGTACCGAGGTACGGACCGTACCGTGGGCTACCGTTGCACCCCTAGTGCGGCGTCAGATGAACCATGGCTGTTGGCACCCAGTCGTGTTTCATCTGTTTGACTGTCTCACCCACAGAAAGGGATATGAATAAAGTCATAAGTCAATCAAAAATAGATTTGGCACATGATTCAATTTTATTCTTACTTCAAAGCAGTTAAACATATTTTATGATGAGTTTTATCCAAATGTTTGTTTAGGATGATGCTTTAGGTGTCTGTGATGTGTCAGATGTACCTACAGCTGTGTGGACGTGAGGAGGAAATGGAGAAGGTGATGGGTGATTGTGGTGGGGAAGCAAGGCAAAGGGGGGCACTGACCTTAATACTACAGAGCTGCATCAGCATAATGACCAGAGAACCCAAAGCAGAGAAAAACCTGAGGGAAGTGGGAGGAGAAGGGTGGTGTGTTACAATTCATGAATGCAGCAGGTGAGAGTCAACGATGGCATGCTGTTGCATACTCATGTCAGAGGAACAACAACACCATCACAGTCATCCTCCACTCATACTTCATCTTTATCAGATAAAATATGAATCACTGAGAAAAATCAGATGGAGAGATGGAGAAACGAGAATCGGGGAGACAAAGACACAGTGGAGGACACCGTGGGTTTCAGATGTCACCTAAAACAAACCTCAAACCCCCCCCCCCCCCCCAACCCCCCACCCCCGTGATCCTGCAGCCAGGAGACATTTGGCTTTGAGAGCTACTGCGCTTTAACTTATTATCACAAAATGTGATTCTCTGAAGATCCAGATGTGTTTCGTTCACAACAACCCCTAACCCAACGCCGCTCCAGTCAGAAAATAACACGTTTCACCACAACATCAGCTGAACTTATCAAACTGTCCTGGGCTTGAGAAACACAATTTAGATGTGGATGCTTCTAGGAGTTTAAAACATCAAATCAGTGGTTTGGAGTTTCACATAAAACAGAAACAAACTCAGCATTTAAACACTGTAACAGCACTGGATGCAGTTTTCAGTTTCCTGTGGGAAAAAACAGCACACGCATCATAATTTACCATTGGCTACAATCAACTAGTCTAACCAGTCACCAGACTAACCAGAGTGGTTAGTTTGTTAACCCCATTAATGATCAGACCAAATGGAAGAATCCTCTACCATCCCAAAGCAAGTGGCGGATTTAGCAATTTGGGGTCCCAAGGCGAACACAGACATGGGGCCAGCCCCCTTACACAAAATTTTCGACAATCTTATTGACATGAGTTATTTTCACTTTTTATTAGTCCTCCTCTTTTTTCCTGTCTTTCTCTCCCTTTGAGTGCCTTCAACATCTGCTCTGCTTTCTTCTTCCTGTCAGTGCTCCTGTGCTTTTGCCTTTCTTTGTTTTTTCTTATTTATTTTCCATTTTGGTCTATGTTTTCCTCCCTTTAAACATTTTCCAAACATTTTCCTTTTCTGCTTCTTTTTAATGTTTACATAGAAAAACGACGTCACTTCAGAAGTGAAGATAAAAGCTTTTTTAAAGCATGCTGCTTCTTTCTCTTATTGGAGCCACGAGGATAACTCTATTACATGCTTAATGTTTTGGCTACTGCTTCGAGTTTGTTAAGAACGCTCCCGGCTCCCTTCTTAAAATTATTTTTTATGGCACTTGGCAAACAACAATTTGGTGCATTACTGCCACCAACTGGATTGAACTGGAATGACTACCAATCACTTCCTGTTTGTGCATCGGCATCTTAAAGGAATAGTCCATTGTGGCATTAACAAAGGGGTGCCAGCAGTCAGGGCTAGGGGACACCCCAACATAATGGGGCCCCAGGCGGCTGCCGATCTATGTCTAATGGTAAAACCTCCACTGATCAAAGCTGCATCTCATCATGTCTCCTCTGACTCAAACAGCTGAGTCGCTGTAACGTTAGGAGAGGAGGGATCCGTTTTCCTCATGAAAGTCACAAAACCACCAGCCTGGACCGTCACATCAACTTAGAGTTTTGCAGGTTCTGGACAAGCTAGATGTGTAATTATGATAGCCAAACAATTAAAAGTGGATAAAAAAACAAGGGCCTTCATTTATCTTTCCAACACATTCATTAGCAAAATCTTTAATAATTGGTTTAAACACATTTATTATACTTGTAGCATACTTCATTCTTTTACCTGCTGTGATCCCTGGGATTGGCCAGCAGGTAAATAAATACCTGAAGATAAATGGACGGCTCCCCTAGGTCCTGCTAGAGAGGGGGAATTTGTGTTCTTCAAGTCAAACATGAATTTGTTATTTCACCAGATATTTCAATTTAAAGTTTAGTCATTTTGATTTCTTCTTTGTGGGGTGCAACATGTGACCGCCAGAGGAAAATGGTGCAAAACAGGCTAACTTCACTCCGTTCTCCTGCTTGGAGGCATACCATACCAATTTTTTTTGTAAAGCACCATTTCAAAATGGCATGGCTGCTAACAAAAGTGCTGTAAATAAAAGAGCCAAAAGCTTGAACAAATCAACACAACACAATGAAAGCATGAAAATCAGGTAAAGTACATAAAAACATAGCATAAATAATCAAGGATAAAAATTCCTACTAAAAACAATAAAATAAGAGAACAGTTAACAGCACTATCAAAAATAAAAATGTTGCGACGAATGATAAAAACCATTTGAAATGGCACAAATAAAACCAAAAAAGCTACAAGATGGTGCGAGGTGTTAAAAGTGAGCTACTGAATGATAAAAACTACATTAACAAAAATAAATCCGCAGGGTCTGAAATACATTTTTTTACTCACCGGCCAAGTTGGCTGGTAGATGATGAAAATCTACCGGCCAAGCATATTTTTTACCGGCCAAAATTCTAAACGATTTAGATCTACCTAAAGCATGTTATTCTATATTATGTTCATTCCAAACAGAGTGACAAAATAATTAAAACATCAATTAATAAGAAAAACAACTCTTTTGTAATTTTTACTATTTATTTATTTATTTTTAGAGATGTTTTTATGAACTCTTTCATTGAAATCTAGTCAGACTCCTTGTTCTCTCTGTCCATGAAGTCTGGCCTCCTGCTTCTGACACCGTGTTTGTGCCAAAGCATTACAGCCTCATTTGGGTCATAGTCCTTGATCTCTGGAGAACACAGCTGCACCATGAGAATATCTGAAAGTGTGTCAGGGCTAGGGTTGTCACGGTAACCGGTGTAGCGGTAAACCCCGGTAAAAAAGTTGACAATAATAATAACCGTCTTGTTTTTAAAAAAAAAATTATCTCGGTGGATTACCGTGGCTGCGGTGTAGGCGCGGTGACCCTTACTAGCCACTGTATCATCTGCTGAAGTTGCCGGTGGCACATGCGCACTTTGTTGTTTACAACCAAAACTTTCTTGAAGCTAAAGCTGAAATAATGGCCAAAGGAGGAGACGGCAGCGCTCTGGACATTTATTATCCCTCAAAGAAGACAAAGTTGGAAGTATGGGCATTTTTTGGATATTTGAAGAATGCCGAGGGACAGTTGATAGAAGACGGCTATCCTGTTTGCAGCACGTGCAGAAAAAGTGTCTGTGAAAGGCAGCAACGCTTCAAATCTCATGACACATCTGCGTGGCCATCATAATGTAGCCATTGTCTTACGACTCCACCATCTCCAGTTCGCCACTTTTCACAAAATCTTCTGGTTGCCACTGGTCCTGGTGGTTTTTCTAAAGCACCATTCGTGTTAGTGGGGCTAAACAGTATGGCATCTGTTTTGCTGTCATTTAACCGTAGGCAGTTTTGAGAAAGCCAGGATTTGATTTTGAGAAAGCCAAGATTTGACCTGAGAGAGGCATTCTGACAGAGAAAATGAGTGCTGTTGGCTAATTTGAAGGTAGATCTGGCAATCTTCTTCGTAAAAATGGTAGTTAACCCAGAGACTTGCTAAAATCTTACCAAGTGTTAGCATGTAAATTGAAAAGAGGAGAGGGCCCAGGATGAAGCCCTGCGGCACTCCCCATGGAAGTGGAACATTGGAGAAGAGCAGTCTTGTATATGAACACTAAAACACCGATCATTAAGGTATGACTTAAACCATTCAAGGGCCAAGTATCCAACATAAAGTATGGACGGCTTGCTTGGATCGCAGATGTATCTCAGGTTATGTGTGAGAGTGTATTCTCTGCATTATCATTCTGGTAACTTACAGATGGTAAACACTTTTAATTCCTCGTTCTTTACCTCAACCATGACATGCACACCAACAAGCACACACACACACACACACCCCGGTAGGCTAGTCTGGGCTCACTGACAAACAACAAAACCTCCGTAATCAGAAGGTTGCACGTTCAATCCCTGCTCAGTCTGTCGCTGTCGTTGTGTCCTTGGGCAAGACACTTAACCCACGTTGCCTGCTGGTGGTGGTCGGAGAGACCGGTGGTTCCTGTGTACAACAGACTTGCCTCTGTCAGTGCGCCCCAGGGCAGTTGTGGCTACAATGTAGCTCATCACCACCAGCGTGTGAATGGGTGAATGAATGATTGTGTTGTAAAGCACCTTGGGGGGTTCCAGGACTCTAGAAGGTGTTATATCAAATACAGGCCATTTACCATTTCTATAGGGTGAAAGTTTAAATTGTTTTACTAGAAAATCCAGCAAATGAAATATTAACGTCTCATCCAGACGTTTTCTTCCACTCACTCCACAACAAGAAAGCCGAAAATTCATTCTCCCATATTAACATGGCCGCCATGTCCCAGAATGCAACTCGTCATCGCGTGTGATCACAAGCCCCATAGAGCTCCGGGAGTTGACGTCACTTCTCCCGGCATGCAACAGTTCAAATCGAAACGGCGCCATATTGGCAGGTAGAAGCCGGCAGCTGGACTATTTGTTATTGTCAGAAAACTCAATCAGACAGGAAATATGGTAGATTCCTGTTGTGCCCCAGGATGCAGAACAGACGCGGACGACATAAGGAATGAGCCATCTACAGGATTCCCCAAGATCCGGAGTGCCGCAAATGTTGCATCATTGTAATAAAACGCGCTAGTGACCGGATAAAATGAAACTATGGGATCCCGAGAGTAAAGGTTTTCACTTATGCAGCGACCACTTGTTATCAGGTACTTAAACCAACTTTTCCTCAACTGTGTATGGTGTTCATTTTAAATGCTTTTATTACGATTCTTAGTGGGCTTCCTAAACTTATTTTGGCGTGGCTTTTTCTGTCTCATTACTCATAGCAACAAGTAAACATCACGTAAAACGTTGCCTCGTGAGTTCTGCATGCTGCCGTTTATGTGTTTTATGATCACAGCAATTAACCGGCTAAGCTGTATTTAATTTTTAAGCAATGGTTGATCAATTGTCAGATCACACATAAAAAGCACTTTGGATTGCTATTATCTGTCTCACCGAGACAGCTCTCAGACAGA